AGAATGTGGGGATTTTTGGGGCAGAATTTGGGGATTTTTGGGGCAGAGTTTGGGGATTTTTGGGGCAGAGTTTGGGGCAGAATTTGTGCTATTTTTGGGGTAAATCTGGGGCAGAATTTGGGATATTTTTGGGGCAGAATTTGGGCTATTTTTGGGGCAGAATGTGGGGATTTTTGGGGGCAGAATTTGGGATTTTTTGAGCTGTTTTTGAGGCAGAATTTGGGGTGTAATTTGGGCTATTTTGGGGCAGAATTTGGGGATTTTTGGGGCACAATTTGGGCTATTTTGGGGTAAATCTGGGGCAGAATTTGGGATATTTTTGGGGCAGAATTTGGGCTATTTTGGGGCAGAATTTGGGGCTATTTTGGGGCAGAATTTGGGCTATTTTTGGGGTAAATCTGGGGCAGAATTTGGGGATTTTTGGGGCAGAGTTTGGGGATTTTTGGGGCAGAATTTGGGCTATTTTGGGGCAGAATGTGGGGATTTTTGGGGCAGAATGTGGGGATTTTTGGGGCAGAATGTGGGGATTTTTGGGGCAGAATGTGGGGATTTTTGGGGGCAGAATTCGGGCTATTCTGGGAGCATTCCTCACCTTGCCCGTTGCGCCCCTCCTGCGAGCGCAGGCGGATCCAGTGGTCGGAGATGTTGAGGATGACCAGGGGGTGCAGGGCCACGGACACGCTGCCGGTCACTCCTCCGGCCATCACCTGGGGCGCCCCTGCAACGGAAAATTCCGGAAAAGTCGGGAATTCCCAGGGAATTTGGGGAATTCTGGGGGAATCTGGGGAATTCTGAGGGGTTTGGGGGGAATTCCAAGGGATTTTGGGGCCATTCCTGAGTTTTTGGGACAATTCCTGGCGTTTTGGAGCCATTCCCGGTCATTTTGGGGCCGTTCCCGGTAATTTTGAGGCTCCCCCTGAGTTTTTTCCCCTCACGATTTTCCCCATCCCAGTGCCGTTCCCGTTATTCCCGGGGCCATTCCCGATTATCCCATCGCCATTCCCGGTATTTCCTCCGTTATTCCCGGTAATTTTGGGGCTATTCCGGGTAATTCTGGGGTCATTCCCGGTAATTTTGAGGCTCCCTCTGAATTGTTTTCCCTCACGATTTTCCCCATCCCGGTGCCGTTCCCGTTATTGCCGGGACCATTCCCGGTGGTCCTACCGTTCCCTGCCCCATCCACCTCCATGCCCCCGTTATTCCCGGTAATTTTGGGGCCATTCCCGGTAATTTTGAGGCTCTCTCTGAGTTTTTTCCCCTCACGATCTCCCCCAATCCCGGTGCCGTTCCCGTTATTCCCGGTGCCGTTGCCGGTCCCGTTCTCGGTAAACCCGGTGCCGTTCTCGGTGCTCCTCCCGTTCCCTGCTCCATCCTCC